AAAAAAATAATTTCACGACTTAGAGTTAAGGGTAACATCAAGTTATCGAAAATCTTAACTCCCAGATTTTAATTCCTAATATTTTTGAGTGTTAAGAGATAACTCTTAGTTCAAACAACAATACTAAAACGTGTTATCACTGTTAACATATTTTTTGCTTTCAAGAATGATTATTGTGTGTCGTATTTGAATATTTCGTTTTTGCATACAATTTTTCTGCCTGTAAAGATACTATTATAATGTATCATAGAATATTATTTGATGACGAGAGTGAGAGCGATAACGACGACATCATTATTGCGATGCAACGAAGACCGCGAATAATAATTTAAATAATAAAAATAATAATTTTTCATTACATTATATTGCTATTATACTTATTGAAACATTTTAAAATTTAATATGACAATTTTAATTTTAATTTTTTTGTAACCATCCAGACCCAATGTCCCCTATAGAGGACATACTCCTAAATTCGTCAAAATCTAAAAATAAATTTTTTTATCTCTATAAGAAATTAATTTGGGTCTGAAAGGATTAACGTTTTCAGCGTAATCAATTCAATGAGCGGTGTTATCAATGCTATCAGTGGAAAATGAGAGGGAATCCTAGTTAATACCAGTAATTAATTAGCTAACCTGAGATATACTAACTTCCACTTATAAACTGGTGGTGAAACTGAAATAATGATAACTTGGGGTTACTGATAAACTCAGAGTTAATTAATCTCAACTTTAACTCTTTAATGGTGAAACTGGCCCTTAGTAAATTTTTTTTCGATCGGTTGAAATATGTATATATAGTTTTTAATTTTAAATTTGAAAAATTTGTCAAAATATACAAAATAAGCATAACAATTTTAAAATATACACTCCTGCAAAATCTATCAAATATCCAAAAATATGCACATTCAAATTTTAGATCTGATATCATAGCACTGAGAAACTAATTTATTTCGCACTTTGCTGTATTTAACAATAATTAAAAAAAGTATGCAAATGCTAGAAGTCCCTAAGCCTAGTTATGAATTTTGTTCGTAACATTATATTATATAGGAACATAGTCATTTAAATTATAGGTTTTAGTAATAATAAAATTACCGCTTTTAATAGGTATATACTCGTATGCCACATAGAAGCATAGAACGTTCGGAACACACTAGCCGATATTTACAATTTTATCTTACTTGAGTACGTTTTGCAGACGAGTTTGATAGTTACCTCTTTCATACAACATTATCAACTTTTAAGATAAAATTTGGTAGAAAAAGATTGATAAATAAGATTGAAAATACAATCATTTCAAAAATTATTTTAAGTTATTATTATTTAAGTTAATATAAGTAATATTATTTTTCAGCGTCGGGAAAGTGGCGTCCCCATCGCCCAGTGCCCTTAATTGGGAGCTGCAATAGCCTCACTCTGGTCTTAGGTGATCGGAGTGGTCTGGCCCTCCAGGTTGGGGGTTGATCAGTAGGCCAACAACCCACTATCGTAAAAAACCTTTGTTCAGGAATCCAACATTTTGCCTCGGAACAGAGTAACGGAATCAAGACTGGAAAACTGGAAATCGGCTCTACGTTTTGGAACATGGAATATACGGACTTTATATCAACCAGGAGTAGCCTTAACATTAGTTAAGGAATTTAATAAATATAGGTTAGAGATTTTAGCTATACAAGAAATAAGGTGGAGCGGACAAGGCTCTACAGAAATAGGGAACTCGATAATTTTCTTCGGTCAATGTGACAATCGCAGACAAGGAGGCACCGGCTTTATCGTTAAAAAGAATATAGCATCTGCAATTAAAGATTTCAAAGTAGTGAACTCCAGACTGACTATCCTCATAGTGGAGGGAAAATTCTTCAACCTTGCATTTGTCAATGTACACGCATCATCTGAAGATAAAAGCGATGAAGAAAAGGAGGAATTTTACACTTTGTTGGAATCTACTTTAGAGGGAATACCCAGATATTGCATTATAATCTTATTAGGAGATTTTAATGCAAAGATTGGTAAAGAAGAGTGCGTCAAAACAACTACCGGGTCGAATAGTTTACATCAGCTATCAAATAACAACGGATTCAGACTAATCGAATTAGCTACAGGAAGGGGCTTAAAAATAAAAAGCACGTCATTTCCACATAAGGAAATACATAAAGGTACCTGGAGGTCCCCAGATGGCAGATACATTAACCAAATTGATCATTTATTAGTGAATGCGAGATTCTGCAATAGTGTACTAGATGTAAGGACCTTCCGCAATGCGGAATGTGGATCTGATCACTTCCTAGTGGTAGGGAAACTTAAAGTGAAACTGAAGAAAGCAAAAAAGAGAAAAGAAGAACAAACAGAACTCTTTGATATACAAAAACTATGTGACCTTAAAATTGGTGAAGATTTCTGTAAGAATATATCAAACGAGCTTAATAATGAACATATAGATAACGAGAATGATGATATCGAAAGCTTATGGTCTGTTATAAGAAATGTGATCCGCGAAGCGACAAAAAAAAACAGTTGGGAAACGACGATTTATGAGGAATCCGTGGTTTAACCAGATATGCGAAAATGCCCTACAACGTAGGAAGCAAGCGCGGGAATTTTGGTTAAAGGATATTAAAAATGAAGAAAAATTCTTTAGATATAAAACAAGACTAAAAGAAACAACCAAAATTATAAGATGCGATAAACGAAAATTTATCAACGACATAGTGAAAAGTGCGGACCAGGACTATAAAAACCATAGGACACGGGACCTATACAAAAAGATCAGCTCTGTAAGCAAGGATTTTAAACCAAAAGAAATGTTTTTAAGAAACGAAAATGATACTTTGTTAACGGATAGAGACAACATAGTTGAGGAATGGGCTCAATACTTCGACCAGCTGCTAAACTGTAGAGAACCTTCTAATCCATTTCTCTTTGAAAATAAAAAACCGAATAGGGAAGATTATCCTGAACCTACGATAGAGGAAATTACGAAACAAATAAAAACCCTAAAAAACCACAAGGCGCCCGGTGAAGACGGGATTACCGGAGAGCTATTTAAAAAAGGTGAGGAGAATCTTGTTAAATATATTCATCGTTTAATTAGTTTAATATGGCAAAAAGAAGAGATACCAAAGGAATGGAAAACAGCCTTAGTCTATCCCATCCATAAGAAAGGAGACAAACAAACATGCAACAATTATAGAGGGATTGCCCTGCTTAATGTAACGTATAAGATTTTATCTTACTGTATACTTGACAGAATCAAACCTTGGGCAGAAGAGATTATAGGGGACTACCAGGCCGGCTTCAGGCAAAACCGCTCCACGATAGATCAAATCTTCATTCTACGTCAGGTGTTACAAAAATCTTGGGAGTACGACAAAAGCGTACATATGGTTTTCATTGTTTACAAAAAAGCATATTATTCAATACATAGAGCGTCCATAATCAAGATTTTAGAAGAGTTTGGAATGCCTAGTAAGTTAATAAGCCTCGTCGAGTGCAGTATTAGTCACACTGACATAAAGGTAAAAGTAGGACAAACGTTATCGAAAACGCTTCAAGTGACAACTGGACTAAGGCAGGGTGACGCCATATCACCGGTTTTATTCAACATAGTATTAGAAAAAGTAGTTAGAAAAGCAGCCTTAGATAAGGAAGGAGTAAAACTTGGAGAAAACAACATTGGAATATTGGCATATGCAGACGATATAGTCTTGATGGCAGAAAGCAAAGATAAACTCAAAGAACAATCAAAACAACTCATAAATGCTGCTAAACGTGTAGGCCTAGAGATTAACGCAGAGAAAACTGAGTATATGGTCGTGCAAAGACATGAACAAAAAGGCTGTCGTAACGAGGTCCTGGAAGTCGAAAACTACAAATTCAAAAGAGTGCAGCAGTTCAAATACCTTGGCACACTAATTACACAGCAGAATGAAATAGGTACGGAAATAAAAGCAAGATTACAAGCTGCCAATAAATGTTATTTTGGCCTGACAAAGTTATTAAAATCTAGAGTAATCTCGAAAAATCTGAAGTCCCAAATATACCAGACACTTATCAAGCCAGTGGTGACATATGGGTCAGAAACTTGGACCATGAGGAAAAACGACGAAAATGCTCTTTTAGTGTTTGAAAGAAAGGTACTGAGAAAAATCTATGGACCATGTAAAGACGAACATACAGGTGAATGGAGAATACGTAAAAACAAGGAACTTCAGGATTTGTATCAAAGACCAAGCATTAAAGAAGATATCACCAAAAGAAGACTGAAGTGGGCAGGACATTCTTGGAGAAAAGCAGGGTCATTGATAAAAATAGTACAAGAGAATGCACCAAAAGGAAAACGACCACTTGGAAGGCCGAGGTTACGCTGGGAAGATAGGATCAAAGAAGACATAGAGAAAGTGAGACCAGGATTGGATTGGAAGGAGTTAGCTTTAGATAGAGAAACTTGGAGACAAATCTGTTGGACGACATGGTCTTGAAGGCCGAAGTCATGGAAGAAGAAGAAGAAGAAGTAATATTATTACCAGGGTTGGGATTCTATAGCACTTAAAATTGCATAAATATGCGCTATAATATTACCTTAAAAATTGCTAAATAAGCTCTAAAAATATACAATAAAACAACAAAAAAAAAAGGAAATTTATTATTTAATAATTTTATACGAGCACACCAAACGAATGTGGACTGTATAAGCGAATTCTACTCGTTCGTTGATATTCGGCTATTAGTAGATTTAGTAGAAATCGACAAAAAAAACCCATCAAAATCAGCAGATAACAAAAATTAGAACCAAATAACTAAAACGAAATTATTGTATTATATTATACCTAACTATATATTATCGCTGTAATTGTACAGAGTTGCATTACGCTGATTTAAGTAAATAGACCGATTACACTAGTCGGTCTATTTACTTAATCTATACATTTATAATTTAATTTAAAATTAAAATTATAATTTTGAATATTGAAAATTCGATCAACAAAAATCAAAAAACACGTAATACAATTTCATAAAATATGTCCGATTTTGCATAGGCACAACTAGAGCTCTATTTCTGGGTGGGCTACATTTTAATGCTATCACTGACTCGCTTCACCCCCATACCACCATTATTGATTATCAACACTAATATATTTATATTTATATTGCTGAGAAGTCCTGTAATGGTTAATAATTACTTTCAAAGAAGAATTTTTTCACTTACAGACTAACTACCTAAATAAATTTGAATAAAAAAGGATAAAAATATGTAATTGATGAAATATACAGTTCTGGCTATTAAATATTTATTACAAAATTAAATTAACATTATTTTTCTGTCCTTTTCTGCAAATTTGTTTAAAATATCATCCGAATTTACTTTGTTAGTTATACCTCTTTCTATATTAAAAATAGATAAAAATGTAAAGCGATCTTGTGCCATGGAGGATCTTAGCCAATTTTTTATTCGTCTCATTGAAGAAAATGATTTTTCACAAGTGGCTGAAACGTACATCACACCAGCCCCGCGCGGTTAAAAATTTACTAAAAAAGTTATACAGATAATTAGTACTTAATTAGTATGAATTTGTATGGCCCTTCGCGAAATTTGTATGACATTAGTTTGTGAAATATTTCATTTTATAAGTGGGCAATTATTTAGGCAATGAAACATCAAATTCAGCAGCAGTTGAGTCTAGTTTTAGAAAATTAAAAAATATCACTTTTAAAAATGTTTCTTTGCCCACAAATATTGAAAATTTTATTGAACATCACACTGCGTCACTAAAGGGTTCTTCGCTATTAAGACTGAGGAAAACTGAGGAAAATTTTACCACAGTAATAGATGATATAGACGATTCATTCGACAATGTGGTAGTTCAGTCAACAAAATCTGGCAATAACAGTGATGAAGTGAGCTGTCTTTTATGTGTGTCAGGAAGTTTACAAACCGAAAACAGATTCCTTAAATGCAATACCTGTGGTATTTCAGTACATGCCATCTCTTCTTGTTCAACACACAAACAAGGACAAGATAATGAGAGAATATGTTTAAAATGCTTTAAAACTGATACTACGATGGCCACGCATTTGTCCGAGGAAAATATAGCTGTGGAGAAATGGAATAAAAAATCAAAAAAAAACAACGTAATTTTAATTCGTATCTTTGTTCTAATCCAAACTTACGGCATCTCCAAATGAAAAATTCAAAAACCATTCAATCTTTACCATTACTAAAAAATGGTTCTTGTGCTAAAGAATTAAAGAGTTGTTCAATCTCAAACATGGGTAAAATTATTATCAGTAACACGTGTGCATTTGATACGATAACATCAATTTTAATGGTTGCTTATTGTGATAGTAACGAATACAATTCCAAAGTTGATGAATGTGACAATTCGTTACTTAAATTTATTGCAGGATTGGTAAAAAATGGCATAAATTCAAGAACTTACTCAAACAGAGCTGATTTAATGGTAATATAACATCTTTAAAATAAATTAAATGTAAGGTAATTTTAACTACTGTAATGCTTTTTACTATAAATAAAATATTTAAATCCAAAATTAGAGAAATTGGCATATGGTACAACTTTGGCAAAGTGTGAACCTACAGCTATCAATATCCTGCACAAAACATTAAAAGATACGCCATCTGCATTTGATAGTATCGGTTGCAGTGTCCAATCGTGTGGAAAAAAAAACAGAAATAAAAAAACCAATTTTATTCTTTACTTATTGTACGAACAGTAAAGATTTACTGAATGGATTACAAGACTTCATGGCTCAAAGAACGAGTGATGAAACAAAAGACTGCAGATGGCCAGATCATAATAGTGAACCATGTAAAGGACTACAAACTAGATTGACCCATATTTCAGAGATGCATTTGTTCATAGACATATTAAACTGGGAAGGTATAATAATTTTTTTATTATATTAATAAATTAAATTTAATTAAAATAAATTATTCTTATATATTTCATTTTACTTTAGGTGGAGATATCACAAATATCAGTACTGATACTTTGCTTCAACTTAACCTTAAATTAGAAGAGATTCCAGAAATACTTATTAACTCTGGAAAGACATACGAACTCAAAGGCGTTGGTTGCTTTCGTTGTGGCCCCAGTAATTTAAAAACATCAGTTGGTCATTACTTCGGATATTGCAAACGTGGACAAAAGAATTGGCAATTATATGATGACTTACAATCTAATGTAAAATATGTTAATGAACGTACAACAGTACGTTTTTTTAGAATATTTAGTATACACTGTTTAAATCTCAAAAATTGTCATAATCATAATTTATAATTATTTATAAAAAAAGTTATGTAATATTTTAAATACAGAAACGGAGATTATAATTTTTTATTGATTTATACTTTTTTTTATAAGAATTTTCGTAAAATCAAACTCAAACAAATTATTTATGGTTTTAATGATTTATTGGAATGATAATAATGACTTCAATTTAATTAAAAATATGATGCTAAAGAGGTAAGTATTAGATACTTGAATGGGTAAAAAATTTAAATTATATTATACATATTCTGAATTGGAGAGTACCTATATTCAATTCCATCACAATCTACAGACATCGGAATATCTGTATAAAATAAGTAAGTGTATTTCAGATAGTACAGCAACAGTCATTTTGAAGGCCACCTCACTTTGAGGATTATTCCGAATAGACAATTTTAGAATTTTGTGGACGGTCGTACAAATTCGACCTAATTGGATACTAAATATTGATAAAAGAATATTTGATACATTTAAAAAGTTGATGTGTGGGCGGAGCCAGGGTGACGCCGTATTCGCGAAAACCGAATTTTCGAAAAAGTGATTAGAAACTTGACACTTCGCTGACGGTCGTACAGATTCGTACTGATTGGATACTAAATATTAGCATAGTTGGACATGCAAATTCTATCAAAGTCCTTGTGGGCGGGGCTGAAGTGACATCACCCCAACCTCGCCCACATAAAAAATGAAATACTTCACAAACTAATGTCATACAAAATTCGCGAAGGGCCATACAAATTCATACTAATTAAGTACTAACTATCTGTATAACTTTTTTAGTAAATTTTTAACTGGGCGGGGCTGGTGTGATGTACGTGTGGTTGAACTTATGGGAATAGATAAAGCCACTTGTAACAATTTAAAAAAGTTCGGATATGTTTGTTTTTCAACTTCTTTTACATCATTCAAATTGAAATCGTTTACACTTTCTGCGATATAATACAAATTAAAAACTCGTTATAGTTTATAAACTAAAATTAATTATAATCAAAATTCTCAACGATAACAAGCATTGAGAAACGCAGCCTGCAAAACAAATATCACGGACCACAGTTTTCACTTTTCTTATCTTATTCTAAGACCGTCAATACGCATGTTTATTGTTTATTTACGACACGGGCTAGTTAAATACTCTTCGTCCGTGATTAGCGATAAAATGTTCATAAAATGAACCTGGATTATTGATAATTAACCGTAAATAATAAATGGTTTGATAATAATATAATGATAATATTCATATTATTGATAAATTTAAACTTCTAAAAACAATAAACCGTTACACAATACACATAACTAATGGGATTCGGGAATTACACATTACGTTCAAAAACTGGGTGGGCTACAGACAAAACTGGGTGGGCTAAGCCTACACAAGCCCCCCCCCTATTTGCACCTATGCGATTTTGATTAAAACACAGGTAGAATTCAAAAAAGTCTCAAAAAATCCAAAAAAGCACTATAAACTAAAAAACGCAAAGTATGCAACAAAAAGCAAAATCAAATTATTATTTGAGTATCATGAAACACATTTTTAGCTTATTCTGCTATTTTTTAAGTATCTCATAAGAAATATGCAAATGCTATAAAATCTCAACCCTGATTATTACAAACATGAGATAATCAAACATTTTATACCAAAACGCTGTATGAAACATACTTAACCTGATTAAAAATATTTAACTTATATTAGGTATTTGTTTATTTTATTTTATTATTTAATGTATTTTATTTATTATTATTAGTAAAACATATAATTTATATGACTATGTACCTATATAATATAATGTTACGAACACAATTCATAACTATAAATATTGATAATATTATATTTGTTTTAAGTGTTTATATAAAATTACGAACCTTATGTGAGTTCAGCGCTTCGTGTTAAATTAGATTAGGATTGGTAAAAACATGTACACATCATGCAGAGTGGTTTTGGTTCCGCCCCTCGCGCTGAAACGTACTAGGATCGGGAAATACGCTAACCATGGAAGCTCGCAAAACAGGTTTAATAATCTTTACATTGACAGGGAACATATATAAAATAATTCAACAATAATAAAATACACAAAACAGGGTGACAGTAGGTACGTGTGATAGTGGGACTACGCGCCGTATCCCCACACTTTTTATTAAATAATTACTGTAATTACCTCATTGTTATCTAACTTATTAATATTACCTTTCTGCATTATTATGATTCTAATACTTATTTGATTATTTTATATACTATCTATACTACTATTATCTGTATCTATTGCTGTACCTATCATTTTCACTAAATTCAATCGTTATTTGTTTATCAATAATTTAATTACTGTAATTGTCGAGCTGAATAGTTTCTTACTACAATTCTAAATAAAAAAAAAAAGTTTTAAAAGATGATAAATTTATAATTTATGCGAGGGCAGTCCTGATAATTTATTATACGTAAATATACCATAAATATTGAAGTATTTGCTCAAAGATTTAGTAATTTTTTTAGTTATTACTAAAAATAGTAAAATTTCTTTTCTAAAGCCGTATTTAATTTTAATTAAATTGATCGGATCATCGTTTACTAGATTTATCTAAAGAATTTGCGTTACTAAAAAAAAAACCTATCATCATCAGTGGCGTAATTTAGGGAGCATCCACCTCGTGTATTTGCCACAGTCTAAACTTAAGCAATAGCTTAAGAATTGGAATACCAAAGTCGGCACATCATCAAAATATAAATACGTCTTTTAGAAGGTCATTGACGACATGTTGTAAATCAGAAAAATGAGAAGTGCACTATATGAGTAGGTACTTGTACTATACTACATTTGTACATAATACAAATCATTATATTTTTAGACGGGTTTACGGGTTTGACATCCCCTCCCCCCTTCCCCGTTAGTCGGCACTTTGTAAAATGAGCCGCCAAATCGGCAAGTAAGTGCATGCTAACTGCCCCACTCTAGAAAAAACTGAAATTATCCCACCGATCATCTTCATATAATTTGCTTACCTACAGTAAAATTTACTTAACATAGAATAGCTTCTATAAAATGAATATTCATATTTTTTTGTCAAATAGTACACTATGACATGACATTGAAATGGTTTTATGTCGAGTACCAATTAACTTCAATTATTTATCTAAAAAACATTTTATACCTGTAAGTATTCAATCCCCAATTTTCCATTGCACCAGATGAAAAGTCTGGTACTGCTAGAAAATCCATTTTCGGATATGGATATGGAATATTTGTGTAAATTTCCATCACATTGAGTAATGTATTTGCCTTTTTTTCAATGTATGTTACTTGATCAAGATATTCTTTATGTGTGTAGACATGGATTTTTTGATCGGTAGTTGTTGTCAAAAATTCAGAAACAGAAAATGCCACTAAGTACGTTGCGATCGGATCTGTAGTTTTATACGGATCACATATATAATTACCACTGTAATATAAGTGTAATTAATTTAATACGAAAACATTATTTTTTTATTCGATTACTTACACCTGGAATGGTACACCGTCCTTCGGCATGTTTGATAACGATATTTCTGTGTCTTTTCTCATAATAAATATTTTAAAAGGTGTTTTAAATATCGGTTCATCGTAACACGGAAATGCCATTCTTGCATATGTTGGTTCAAATTGAGTGACAGATAACCATCTAAATTAAATAAATAATTCACCATTCACAAATGTTTATTTTAACTTTAAACTGAGGAAAAATCGCTTAAATGGGAGTACATCGGTGATTTCAAACTGAGTTATTAATCACCATAGTTTAATTTGTTAAATTCACTTCACCCCCATGTTTCAACAAATATTATTGTTACAGATAATTATATTGGCTTATTATGTAATTATTTTTAAATAATATTAGTTCCATACATTTTATTAAAAATTGAGAGTAAACATATTATTTTAAAGTATTTAAAATATTTAAGTATATATTTTTTGAACTAATAAAAATTAATCAATCAAATGCTGTTTTCGAAGTTTATTTATGATAGTATATTTTATAATATATTTTATTTTACCTCTAGAGTAGAGTCACATATAAATAATACTTTATTACTTTACCCAACTAAAATTAAAAACTATTATATTATTATTTCTGTAAGCTAAGACTGTAAAAAAGAATTATTTTAAATTATTAAAAACTGTGTTATTAAAGTGTTATAAATGTTATTATTTTTTTTTCTTATATTGAAAAACCTATTTAAATTAACCCCAATAAAACTGAAAAATAAGTTAGTTATTTAATATTTTATTGCTTTATATTTTTTTCAGATGCAATCATCAAAAATATTATTTACTTAGTCTCGCTTTTCTCATTCTTGTATGAACTTCGATAGAAACCAATCATATCATTACGCAATTCGCCCGAATATTTGATTTTAACTTCATATTGTTGATCAGCAATAAATCCCGGTTCTTCAATTGTAATTTTGAGTTGCTCATTTTTTTCAACTAATTTAAACTCATTTGTGATACTTTCTGCCATATTATTAATGTTCTTTATTTCAATAGTTTGTATATTTAATTCAACTGCATTCAAAGTTAACACTGGAGTTGAATATTTCACCAAAATATTTATGACCACTTCACCAGTAAATTCGAAATTATTGTTTAAGGGATCAATAATAGGCGTAATCTGTAACCTATAAGAAGTCGGTTGGGTGTTGTTGGGCAAACGAAATACATCCATTTTTTCATCTTCGTTGATTTTTCCTTGCGCTAAAACGCAGGAACAAGATATAAGGAACAATATTCTTAACATGGTAACACGAACAGCGCAAATCACTAACTAAAAACTAAAACAATCGAATATTATGAAACCAGGCACACACTTAATATTTTATCATGGTTTGATATAGATATATAATGAATAATAATTAACAAGTCTTGACTTAAGTTGAAAACAAATATAATATGATAAATACTTCTACTTATTTACACTATTTATCTTTTAAATGTGTTTAATCTGCAGTGACGACTGACGTCATTAATTGGGTCTCTCATTTAAATAGATATTTTTTTTAAACAATATTGTTCCTTTATTATACAAAATTAGTTAATTTTGTTAACAATTATATTGTTTTTTAGAGCGATATTAATGATTATAATACTTAATTTGTATTTCTAATAAGAAATGTCACTATTTTCATGAGTTAGGGATTAAAGTAATTTAATGTTATCCATTTATTTATTATTAAAACTATTTTTATTTCGCACTTAAATAGTTATAGTTTTATAAAAAATATATGTTATATATATATTACAATAGTGTAATAGTATTTTTTTTTAACTTTTATTTTTAATCTGTACATTTTTTTTTTCAAAAATCATTAATTTCGAAAGATACAGTGAAGCAGGAATGCGGAGTTTAAAGTAGTCACCCATTGCTGACAACTTAAACAGTGATTAATAATAATTTATAAGTCCAAAACATCATGACATCACGTTCGTTTTAGACACCTTTTGAAGTCACTTGAAATATTAGATTATTGAATAATTCGAAAATCAGGGGATTTCGATGGTTTTGTATGTTATTAGGGTGTTTATAATACGATTTTGCTACGTTTTGTATTGTATCCACGAAGAGGTCATTGTGGCGTATTCATTTGAAATATAGTACAGGGATAGTGGTGTAGCTATCATTGGTCAAAGTGGAGCAGTGCCCTGGAGCTCCGGAGCATAGAAGACCCTTGAAATCCTTGAACAATCTTGAGACTATACTACTTTAAAATAAATGAAAATGTTAATAACTTGATTCCTAAATTATCCATGGTTATTCTAATCACGATCGAATATTTAAGTAGAATAATAATTCACGCACTATAAAATATGTTTTGTGTAGTATTAAATTGGATTTCCTTTTTATATTGTAATTATTAATTATCCGTTAAGTTCGTTTATCATTTCATAGTAAGTATTCTCATTTGAAAGAACAATATGACGAGAACATTTTGAATTTTCGTACAAAAATAATATTAGTTAGGGGATTAAGTTTATTTACTGCATCGTAGCTATTTCCTTACTAACTACGCCACTGTTAAGGCTTTGGTAATTCGATGAGAAGTTACAGTTTAATTCATAATATTTTGTAATTACTTAATAAATTTTTAATATCTCAATTATAACCAAATAAAAATATATTTTTTATTAAACAATTAATTATTTATTAATGCTATTAATTATTATCATTTAATTATACATAATATAAATTATGGCATACGAAGTTTATCAATATTAGCAGTTCTTAAAATGTACTCCGTGAAGCCTTAGACCTCGTGAAAAAAGTCTATGGGTCCCGTAGGTCTATCTGAATTAATTAAACTCGAATATTACTATATTTCTTAGTTATTGAAGAAAATCTATGATACGATTATTCGAATTGTACAATAAACCGTACAATATAACTGTAAGTTTTCTTCGCAGAACGAACATTTAACATACAACACAGACTTACTGATAAAATTTGGTTATTTCGACTTCATTGCTTAGCTAATAATTCCCAAATTAAAATATAGTAAATATATCAATACAATGTAAAATTACCACTTTATTAAATTTAGGGCTGTGTGTTTTTCTCAGCATAAAATTGAGAATTATTGTTATCTCAAGTAGGCATTTATTTTAGGGGCTCTGAAAATTTTTGTTGAGAACATAATGGCTCCTTGAACAAAAAAGTTTGAGAACCACTAATCTATATGATATCCAATAATAGTTATAATTTGTATTTTAAAATTATATATTCTGTTTTTGATATATCTATTTGTAAGTTACAAGGCATTAGATAAATACGCATACACGTGAAAAATATGTGGCTAGCTTAAATCTTTCATGTTTCGTTATAATTATATTATATTGATAATTACTATCATTAAATCACTCATCGTGATAATCTGTTCTGTAATGATATAGGAGAAATTATTTATTAATATAATAATAATAATAATAATAATATAATCAGTATAGATATAAAGTAATTCAAATTATAAATAACATTTATTATAAATGTTCAAACTGCATACATTTTACATTCATTATATTTTTTTTAGTAATAAAAATGACAAGTAGAAATAAAGCTGTACCGGTAGTGAGGTAAAATAGGTCTGAATGAGCGGCTGCTTCTTTTATTTTTGAATGGTAAGGAATTAATATTTAGCATATATATAATTTATATAAAATTCAATAGTAATGAATAGAGTTAGGATGTTGATGACCTAAAAAAAATACAAAAATACCATAAAAAAAGTGCAAAAAGCCTTAAAAACTTCAAAAAATGTATTTATAATAATAATTTTTATTAGAGATTTGGGTGTGATAATGGTTGTAATAGTAGTTTAAAATATGAATTACAAATTATAATATTAATAAATAACATTTATATTTTAAGCATTATGTAAAATTATTAACACTTACTCTAAAATCTAAAATATGACAAAATTGTCTCACATTGTACAAAAACTACAAAAAAAATGACCTTTTTTTTCAGTTTATAACTGACGACGCCACCATTGTTTATTAGACATCAACATTTAATTTTGACATTTAATAATTGCGTCGGTAATTCGCTCGAGTATACATGTGATAATCGGAGGGTAGTCGGTAAAATGATTTTATCTAATAATTACACCCTCTCCTACATAGTCTATTCTAATACTGCGAAACATATATTTTAATAAACACTCTTTGTCATTTCGATATGTCTTTCAATATTCGATATTATACTCCTTTATTGATTTGTTAAAATGTGTTTATGTATTGATTCGATTGCACCTATACTTTTTATTACATAAATAAATTATCTATTGCGAATTTTCGCAATGGGTATATAATAACCAGGGCTCGGAAGTTCTAGCAAATGCATATTTTTCTTGGTTCCTCCTAGAACATCCAAAGTAAGATATAAATATGTTTCTCACTAGTCGAATATCATACACAAAATTTAATTTTGCGATTTTTTGCATATTTTCGGGTATATTTTCACATAATGTAGGAGATAATCATATTTTGTTGGTAATATATATTTACTTGATTATATTTTTACAATATTTGAATTATTGGAAATAAATAGACCTCATCAAATATTATTTTATGTTTTCATCGACAATTTGATGTATTAATAGTTAGTAATGTAATTATTATTCCCTTATTATATCATTTCATTAAATTATCAAACATTTTAATAATCCAGGATAATTTCTAAGGTAAATAATTTAATAATAAGTACATTTTTACAAATATATTCAAGTAATTTAACAGTTTTGTTAACAGTTTATTATTCAACCAGTCCGGACTGTGTCTATGAGCCCAACAATTTGTAAAATTATATATTTTTTCTAATAAATTTAAAAATTTTGCATATTTTTGTATTTTTTGTGCTATTTGTGGCGCATATTTTAGAGTTTTTAAATGCATATTTAGAGACTAAAAAGTAACATTTTTAGTACTACAACTTCCGAGCCCTGATAATAACATGTTATAATGATATACTAGTTATTATAGACTATTTATATTCTTAATTATTTATGTATAACATATTTTAATCAATATATAATATAAAAAAAAAATATGAGCCATGGGGGGGGCGAATGCCCCCTTCCTCCTCAAATACGCCCTTGTCACAAACTCAATGATCGGTCCATTAAAGACTTTAGTTTATTTAATAAGAACCTTTAGTCCTTATCATTATAATATATCTTATAACATCCAAATACAGACAAATGGACGTAGCCGTTTGAACGTGGCCCTTTGGATGTGGGGACAGTAAAAAAAAATATAAATAAAATATATAATATTATTATTATAATAGATCGTCATCAAAATATATAAGAAAAATTAATAGTTCTGGTTTATTTATAGGTGTTTATCAATTATAAAATCTTTGATATTATATGTACATAATTTTACTTATGAAACCATGGAAATAAAATATAATTTTTATGCGAGATCGCAAAAAATATTTCTCTACATTAATATGCAATGTTGATCATTTTTTAATATTATAATACAAGATAATATAATTAATTTTATTTAATGATTTATAATTTTTATGTTTTTATTTTTTTTTGACGTAGATACAGTCCAAATGGCCACGTACAAATGGCTACGTCCATTTTACCTAGATTGTATAATATCGGTATTGATTATTGAATAAATACTTCTTAACAGTAGAGTTACGCACTGTACTAAAAAAATAATATAGACTATATTTATTCTTGTTTGACCTTTGTATTTTAAAAAGTATACTGTACGTAAAATTTATCATTTTAAAACAATTTGAATCGTCCAACAATGCGTTTTAAAAGAAAATTCATTTTGACCATTAATATATAAACTATATTAATCTTGGAAATGTAACTTATTTAGTATAAATATTTTAAAAAAATGGTGATAAAATAATTAATTATTGGGCATAGAGACTGGACTGAAGTAGAAGTACAATATTAAATATATAATTTGTTTAATATAAAATTATTATTATCGAATATATAATCAATGATTTTGAAATAATAATAAAATACATAAAAAAAAAAATAATAATAATAAAAGTAATAACTGTTTAAGTGTTTGTCACACAAAGATAATATGTATTATTTAAATAATACGAGACAATGAAGTGCATTTACAAATATCAGGTGTCACTAATAGCACAATAGCAAAACAACTTTTGAATTACATTACATCATTATATATTTTTTCAAGTAATATGTTTTTTTTGTATCATATCTATCATAGTAATATTATTTCTATTATTTTCTATAGTCATAATTTATCATTTATGATAATAGAATACCAATTGGTAATTAATACCGCATTA